GGACGACTATTGGGGTCAAGAGTCCACGCAGTCGCTGACACCGTCCTTGAAGAGCAAAATAACTCGTGAATATAATATTTCGTGTCCAGCAGGCAGTGCTCACGCAAATCTTTTTAAAGATTAAACTCCCCTTGCACTTTCAAAATAAAGTTCTGGCACCCAGAGGTCATTTAGGGGTTTCTACCTTTGGCACGCATAATTTAAGGGTGCTCTTTCACTGCAACGACAAAAGACGTTTTATTGACAGCACCAAAGGACATATCCACATAACCGCAGTTTATATGAAGACTGGTTGGCGCATCCAGTTGGCATCAAACGAAATAAAGACCTGCAGCATACTGTGAGATGTCAAGATGTTTTTGTAGTTGTTCAGCCTGGAGGACCAGTCCAGTGCAGCTGGGGATCATCAGTGGATGCTCATAAACATTTCACCTGCATGCATGTCTAGCCTTAGTTGGTGTGGAGATATGTGGACAGGAGGCAGTAATAAGAAGTTATGGAGCTGCTTTCTTACTCACTATTTGCCCTCTGGCCTGGCTAACTTAAGCCCTGTGTCTCTGTGTGACTCTGTTGGCTCGGTGCACTACAATTCAAGCTACACCATCATCACCGTGTTCCTACTCTTGGACTTTCTTCAACCCTGAAATGAAGTACAGACTTTTGAGAGACAGAGGGAGAGAAGGATGCCTTTGCAAGCCCCAGTTGTGATCAATCTCAAATGTTCGGGGATTCCAACTTCTCAAGTATTGGGAATTGCTCCATTTCCTTGTCTTATAGTAAACTGATTATTTCACTGATCAATTGCAGGTTAATTTCTCCGTCAATTAAGCGTTTGGTCTATAAAATGTTAGACAATAGAGGAAAATGCCCATCACAATTTCCTAACGCCTGCCTTCATATTGTTTATTTTGTCCAAACAAGAGATTCAATTCACTATCATGGAAGACTAAGCATATATTCACATTTGAAAAGCTGGAACTAGTACATAATAAAAAAAATAGAAATGACTGTTAATTGTCTGTCCACTGATTCATTGTTTCAGCTCAGAAAAAAATATTATTTTTCTAAAATGCCAAATGTTTGATGGTTCCAGCTTCTCAAATGTGAGGAATTGCAATCTTGCATTATAGTCGAATGTTTTGGACTGTGGGTCTAATTAAAGCTATTTGAATACATGTGATTGGCTTTTTAAGAATTTAAACAAGTTAAAACAAGTTTATCAATTTATCAAGAAAATAATCTACAAATGAACTGCAGGCACATTCCTGATAAATAGAAGAGTTTGTGAAATTGTTATGCCTTACCCACACGCCCTTTAACATTTCATATACGTGCGTAAGAAATTCATAAACGAATGCACCTCACTTAAGAGTAAAGTAACACCCCTCACATTACTGTTGTGTTTTCTAAATCTGTTTTCCACAGCTTCATTAGTGACATTAACCATCCCTACTCTCGCTCCTCTTTGCACCAGCAATTCACCAAAATGCAACCCAAGGCTTTGACATCCCTTCTCACGCGGCCTCACTAAGTAATTCTTCTGCCTCATGGAGTTTGATTCCACAGGTCCTTGGCTGGGTCATATTAGGCATGGGGGCAGCCACCCGGATCTTGTCAATATGATAGGCTGGCTGGCGCTTCAGTGGCACCGGGGAAAGCCAGAATCATGTCAGCCAGACCCTCAGGGGGGGCTGGAGAACCAGCCAGAACAGGATATTGCTGTGTGATCATTCACCAGCAGCAGACAAATCATTAAACCAGTGGCTGCATGCCGCTGAGCGGTTCAGGCATTTCTGTCTGTCACTCTGACTTTCCCTCAGGTTACAGGTTGTGTTTGCGTTTTGAGGTTGTCACTGCATCTTATCATCCCGTCATCAAGGATAAATAAAGTAGCTTTACTGTTCTGTGTGAAAATAGATGGGTATGAGAGGAGTAAAATGTAATCAATCTTCCATCATCCAGCCCTTATCTCTGATGGTCATAGTCTTGCAGTTTTTGATTTAGGCCGGTTTCTTTGATTTGACATCAATCCATTTTGTGTTTTAACTTTCCCATACCTGCTTTTTATGGGAGGAAATCTTTGCACACATGTTTCCCAAGACTTCCCATTTTAGGAAAGCTAACTAGTCTATTTTTAACACGTGTCTGTACTTGATTTGTTCTAAATTCTGTTAGTGGGGAAACTGAACCATCTTGGTGCTTTTTGTCTTTTTTCCCCACATTCATTCGAAGCACAGGATTCACATGTGCTAAATTACACAGAACGCTCTTACTTGTTTATAATAACCATACGGAAGCACGCAAGCCTGTCTTTAGAGACTTTTTTTAATCAATTTAAAATGGGTGGGAAATGGGAATTTAGTCATGAACTGCATGGCTGAAAGAGCGCTTTGTCTTAAACTTGAACTTTGTGCAGAAATGGCATTTGTTTTGGATGTCAGGGGTTATTTACTTGGATGCCTTGTTTGGGTTAAAGAACAAGTCCTGGCTGTTTGACAGATTTCTCTCTCGTAAAAAGTTGGAGCACTGAAAATTGCTTCTCCTTGGAGCGTATCCAGTGTTGCATATAGGCTCGCATGTTACTCACATCACATGCTGTGTTCATGTGCTACTCTTCAAATCCAAATGCAATTACTCGACCGCCTCAAAAGACACCCCGTTTTAAGAGACGTCACGTTTCTTCACATGCTTACAGTGAGCGACTGTCAGGTTATTGAATAAACTCTTAGTGGATTTGAGGGTGACCATTCATGAGCCCTCAAAGGCTTTCAACTCATCTCCTTTGCTGGGTCTGGTCTTCTGCCTGTTCTTCTGATAGCAAAGGCTGAAGAATACCTGCATATGTTCGTGCAGAAGCACCCCACCGCCTGCTGTGGAGGTCACTGTAAAAGATGGTGCCCTCTTGCTCATTAGAAATCTAATTATCCAGACCGAATATCCTGGCAGTCGAGTCAGCGGGCAAGACTCTCTTTGTTTAATTTAAAATCGTACGCACAGCATGCCAAAAGACGAGCCATGCACAGGTCAACAGTAGTGACCTTTCATACAAGCCGATTAATTGCCATGGTTTTAAGAAATTAGGTAGGCAAGTTTGATGTATGACTTGCAGCTTTTGGTCCTGCAGGAGTTGAAGGGTAGAGGTCAGGGACCAATCTGTGCTGCTCTGCTATAGAGGTGTGCTGTGGTGGCTCTGTGGAGCACACATCTGGGCCTACCCCCCACCTCCTTTTGAAACGCACACAAACCTCCACTGCCACACCCAAGTTACCCCACCACCCTCAGGCTGGAATAATTTCCTATTGGCAAAGAGAGTAGCTTCTGGCTCCATGTCAGCAGCAGACAGTGGCATGTGTAGGCACTTTTGTGTTTGTGCTTGTGTGTTACTGGCCATGCATAATGCATTGCTGCATTCCAGAGATGTCTCTGCAAAAGTGTCTCATGATTTGAATGGTGGTTACGAATCTGTATGCTAGGGTTATAATTTCCTGTTTTTCTTGGTTTTATTTGTTAGGTAACAATAAAGGTGAAGAACAGTCCACACCCTGCTAGGCTTAGTCGCTTTTAGTCAGTGGCCAAAAGTAGCTATAATAGCGTCCACAGCAGTCATTTATTTCTTTTGAAAATGCTGGCAACATTAATGTACAGGAAACCCGTGAAGATTCCCAAGATGCTGCACCCATTGCTGTGACTGCTTCTGTTGAGAGTGCAGGAAACCTACTGATGCGTTGCTGCAGTGCTATTGACAGCTTACTTGATGTTTTGAAAAGGTTCCCAGTGTTGTGGAGTTGGGAGCAGGGAGCTGGAAGGGAATGGAGTGGGGAGCTAGCCTACATACAGTACATTCTGTTACTGAGGAGGATATCACTGAGTGACACAGCTGAATGGAGAAGGTGCTCTCTGTCTTTGTGCAACGTTCATCTGTAATGAAGCAGTTCAGTGGTTAAAGGCTCAGTAGCGTCTGTTTTATAGGTGATAGTTTTGCATAGGGAAGACATTGCGTGACGAACTTAATTTGCAGCTTAATCAGCAGATTTCTAATATGTTGTGCTTTTTATCCGTTTGTTGTCGCTCAGGGTTTGATTTGGTTAGTGTTTGCATAGTCCCAGCATCAACGGTCCTTCGCCTGAGAATGCAAACTGTCTTTACAGTTAACGTGTGTTGCCAGTTTATTAGGTACAGCTAGGTAAAATAATGTAATGCAACTGCCGTGAAATAAATCCTACCTTCACGAAGGTTCTAATGTTTTGTTTTTTTGTTTTGTTTTATTGGAGAGGTGTTGATTCAGTGTTCAGCTGTTTCAATTATTACTCAGACCTCGTTGAGATAAAGGCGGACATAATGCACCTTTCCGTATGATGCACTACAAACGAAAGCCCCCCAAATAACCATACATTTTTAAACCTCTAAGTTTTAGCTAACTAATAAACTGGCGACTGAGTGGACATCACCCAATGCTAAAAACAGTGCTGAGATAGGGCAGCAGCTGGACCTGCGGTCCCCATTAATTTCTTAAAGGAAGGGGTGGGGGGGAGGAACGTCGCTACAACAATAGACACACTCCTACAGACGCACATAGACACTACCCTAACCTCAACCCCCTCCCCCCTCTTCACTACCCTCACCCAAACTTCCCCCTCCCCCTTCTCAGCAATTGTGTGCATTGACGCTTTCCAGAGGCACACACAGGATCGCTGTGCTGTCGCTCTCCACTGGCGAGCAGCGTTTGACTGCTGTGACAGGGGAAAGGCAGTCCTGGCCGTTGTGTAATACACTCAGATGAAGGATAAGGGTAGAGTCTGCCACTGACATGCGCTAATGTGAAACGGGACTTTAATGCAAGCACCATCTCTCTACCCTTTGCAGCCTCTTGTGCCCTTTTTTTTTTACAAGATAGAAAGAAAGAGGGAGACCGAAGGAGGAAGGGTGTGTGTGTGTGAGAGAGAGAGAGAGAGAGAGAGAGAGAGAATGACCGGAGAGAAGGGAGGGAGGAGGACAGACAAGTCGTGCTTGATGGTCACATTTATTTCATCTGTCATGCAAAACAGCGGTGACTTTCCCAGTAATAACTGTGACTGAGCCGGGTTGGAAGAGCCTCTCTCTCTCAGCGCTCTTCTCTCTCAACCTGCAGGATCTCCCCACTCAGACTATGGTAAGATTTACGTCGCAAATGGCTTGTGAGGAGTGTGAGTGCTGGCATCTCACAATGTCCACACCTTTACCCTATGTCATAGCAATCAGATATGTTTTTATGTTTACTCCGCACAGTGAAGAGAGTCTCCAGGACAGTGCATGCTATTTTTACCCAAATCTCATCGGGGGATAAATAATTCAGTATTTTCATAATTCAGTGAGTGGGGCTCTGCTGTTCCTTATTTGAGGAAATACCCACACAGTTTACTTTCTGCTTTTTGCCGCACTTTGAGCTAAGACTAAGAAGAAGAGAAGAGGGCAGTTTTTAAAATTATTTGAACTGTTGTCTACTGTTTTGTTTGCAGTAAAGCTGGCTGGACACTGTACGGATTGTCTGAGATTAATTTTAGAACTGGGCCGAGTTTTTGCCATATCAGTTATGCAGCACAGTTTGAGGTGGGTCATGATGCGTGATTAATTGCCTACTATCTGGCTTGTGGACAATTGAATAGATCTCTGGCATATTAGAAATTGTGGTCAGGTGTCTTAAAGTTTTGGCAGTTCCACGGTCCGATATCCCTCATGGCTGCTGTCAAAAGATCTTTCAAACAGCAGTGAGCTTGTTTTAATTTAACTTGAGTAGTATTTTACATGTCTTGAAACTACTATGACACAAAACTGAACTTGGCTGCACCTTAGACTATATTGCCTTGTCTGCATCTTACAGACATCTGCGTCTGCACATTTTCTTCTTACATTCTGTTCCTAATAGAAAACCACAAAGTAACATTGCTTAACATTACAACTTAATTGCTTGTGAGCACTGGGTTCAGCTATGTCAAAGCTTGCTAACATGTCTTTTTCAAGTGCTATCACTCCACTTCAAAGAGCACTGTTCTGTAAGTAGGTCTCTATTGTTGCTGTTCACTGCGAGAAACCACTCAATCTCTTGTCAGTCACGTGACTTTTTTTAAACCACCAGCTGCAGGTTTCTTGCAGCACAAGTTTGGCTGCTGTTTATTGTTAACTGCATTCAGTATTGTGTTGAATTGCCAGCATCCAGGCACTGTATCACTGTTTGCGTGAGAAGACAAGAGTTTAATTTGGGGTTTTGGGTAAGGAACTCCTCGCTTTGCAGGAAAAGACTACTTGCATCATCACAACAGCGCGCATGGGACATTTTTCATATAAAGCTCTCATACTTGGGTGGATTGCCACATTAGGCAAAAGAATGGACTGCTTCTCGAGACAGAATGTGACATTTCATCCATAACATTTTGTTAAAAAATTTGGCAGATAGCCCTGCACAATCACATGTATTTCCAATGTAGCACACAAATTCATTCCAATTTCACCCCAGTTCATTTGACTTTGTGTGAAGGTAATTACGACATCGGAGTTATCCTTTTTTGAAAATATTTCCCATAAACGCAGCGACTGAGAGACTACAGGAAATGGAACTAAACTGATTACCGGAGATTACTTTGGGTATATACAGCTAATGCCTGTTTATGCACTGAAGACAGACACATGGACACAAGTTCAATGTGCTGCTGTCAGACAGGAAAATGGAAGAGACATGCGGACAGGTAAACAAATGCATCGGGAGCATCAACGTCAATTCATACTCGACATCTGCAAAGAATTCAGGGGTGATGTAGCATGGAAAAGGAGGCACGTCAGCCTGATGAGCCACGTTCCTTACACAGACAGACTGTCGCTGGCTGGCTCTGAGGCTGGTGGCTGTCTGTCTGGGCTTGGGGCTGAAAGGACTGGGTGGGGTTGAGATACTTCATTCACTCCTCTGTCCCTCCAGTTGTAGCTGACAGCAATAAAACCCTCTTGGATTAATCAGTGTTGGATTATTAACTGAAATACACGTTTTCTGAGGTAAAACATATGATTTAAATGATTTGCCTATTCTGCTTCAGGTCTGTTATGTGTACTTGAAATGTCATTTTACCTTTTTATCTGCTTATGGAACATAAATCCCACTCTGGCAGGTCACAATCTGTGTTATGCCAGTGTGTTAACACATAACAGGGTATAATCTATGAATCTAACGTGCTGCTATCATAATCTTTTAAAGGCAGATAAGCTGAAGAGCTAATGCCAGGTTTGGGAGTTTGCTCATCAGCCAGCAGGACACAGGATGTGCCTTCTCTCGTGATCAGCTCATTAAAATTTAAACATCTGAATTCTAGCAGGCAGTGAACATCTGCTAATTTATGTACATTCAAACATTAGCACAGACGTGTTTATAGTTTTCTTCAGATTATGGCATTTGTTGCACCTTCTTATGGCCCCTCTTGATCATTTTGAATTTTTATTATCTTTTAAAAATATATCTTTTAATTCAATCTAATGCTGGATGACAACCAGCTGCACTGATCCAAATTGTCGCTGCTCCTTTGTCACACAATGCATTATTCATCTGTGATTTGGGTTTATCCTGTCTGCTTTTTACCCAGAGGATTTCTTGGTGCACTCTGTTTATGCTAGCTAGCTGGCTGGTTGGCTGCCCTGGTAACTATGGTAACAGTATCCCCCAGAAAGTTGGAGAGACCAGACTTTGCTAGGCTAATTGTGAGCAAGTGAAGCATTGTCTGCAAAGTTAGCCTTAGTCCCATCTTGGACAAGGGCCTGTTAGGGTTTTTTATGCCCTCAGTGATTTTCATAGCCATCTCAATAGAAGTGATTCCTCAGACCTCTTTGTTTTATAAGGTATTTGTTTCTTGCCAGAGAGCGTTGAATCATCTAGCTACTTGACCTACATTCAAGTAAAACAAAAGAATGTACATAGTTCATGTTTTCTCTGATGGAATAATTTTTTTCTCTCCTTATCTTTTAGGTATTAGACTATTTGCTTAATAAAACAAGCTATAAGAATACATCATAGTGGGCTGACACAGGCATTTTTCACTGTTTTCCTACATTTTATAGACAAAACAACTATTTCCATCCATCGACAACCGCTTATCCCGCATACAGGGTCGCGGGGGGCTGGAGCCAATCCCAGCTTACATCGGGTGAAAGGCGGGGTACACCCTGGAAAGGTCGCCAGTCCATCGCAGGGCCACACATAGTCAAGTTTATTTATAAAGCACATTTAAAAACAACCAGAGTTGACCAAAGTGCTCGACAAGTTGTACAGTAGAAGACATAAAAATTAAAACCAGATAAATTAAAACAGGCCAAACAACCACTCACACTCACACCTAAGGACAATTTTAGAGACGCCAATTAACCCAGTCTGCATATCTTTGGATGGTGGGAGGAAGCCGGAGCACCCAGAGAGAACCCTCGCGGACACGGGGAGAACTTGCAAACTCCACACAGAAAGGCCAGGGCCAAAATGACTATTTAATAATGAAAATGGTTTATTATTAATTGTTAGTTTCAGCCTTAGATTATGTTACTATCAAGTTAAAGTAATTTTACATGAGGGAGTATTATGATCTTGTCTACCTACTACTATATTGTGTATTAATGATTTACTCTAATGAAGCATTACTTTTCCTCCTCTCTTGTAGACTGGTGTGATTTGGCCTGGGCATCAACCATTTCCAACTGTGTGAAGAAAAGCAAAAAAGAAGTTTTAATGAATCAGTATTCGCTAGCCGACGCCATGACAGACAAGTAAGTGGTTTATCTTGTTCAAATGTGTGCTTGTGTGTATTTGTGTGAAGGGCCCACTGTACTGTCCTTTTGTCTAGTGTGGAGTAAGACGATGATTGTCTCTTGTGATTACACAATTACACATCTTTCTTGCTCGGCTCAAGATTGTCTCCTGGATGTGTGTTTCAGTACAGAAGTGGAGGAGAGTCGGGGGTTCTGATAGCACAGAGAGAAGTGTGTTGTGTTGGGGGGAATGGGAGTGGTGGTGGTATAAAGACGGTCTGTTTTGTTCCTGAAGACGTATGACATTTGCATCAGGGCTCATTTGCATTCTCGTTCACTCTGCTGGTATGTTGCTGCTGCTGTTAGTTGGTCCTTATTTCCCTGACAAAACAGACATTTAAAGGGGTTTGAGGCTTCGCTATACTACCTATTCGTCTGCTCCTTCTCTTTTTGTTGTTCCTTCATCTTTTCCCTTCCCCCTTTTCATTTTGGACCCGTTCTCTATGCTCCCTATCTCTTTTCTCTTTTTGTCTCTTTTGTCAACTTTGCCTTTGTCTCTCGGTCCGGTGTGTGTCGGACTTTTATCTATAGAGGATGGAGAATTTGGGTGCAGTAAGCAAAATAATCTGCTGTCAGCGTTCATAATAAGCGGAATAAGTGGTGAATGGTCAGTCAGCTGAAAGGGATAGACGCAAACACGGTGAAGGCCAAACAAGGCCAGGCTTATTATGTGCTTTGAGTTACAGAAAAGGAAAAGGGCAGTAAAAAGAAAAAAGTTTGGTCAGTAACAAAAAAGAAGAAACAGGCTGTTTTCAGAAAACTTTAACTGTACTGGTAATGGATGCACATGAAGGACTCAATGGAAAGGCAGAGGAGCTTTATATGTATACAGTAAAGTTTCCAAGGTAGTGTTGTTATGGGAAATGAAGTTTATGTGATTCAGTGTTTGGATGCACTTAGTCAACCTCTAGCATCTCTCCACTTATTACTAATGCACCTGCTGACCCTCTTCAGAGGAAGAGAGAGCGAGAGAAGGGGTGAGGTCTGGTGAGTCAGTCAGTCTTTCTATGAAACAGGCCTCTGGGTAGCACCCTGGCTAAGAACAGCACACTTTAATGTCAGTATAAAATATTGTGCATCTAATTGGTTTGTAGGGTCGGATAATGCTATACTTGCCCAGAGGGGAATTTCTCTTGCAAATTAGAAGGTTATACCACTTCAGCCATTCCCTTAAAGATGCATTGGTGTTTATGCAGAGCCAGACGTTTAGGCTGGGAAGTTTTTAAGTGTTTTGGATGCAGCATAAAAGAAAAACTAGAAAAAAGATGATCTTGTAAAACCTTATTTTTAAAAAACAAGATGCAGCAGTATTTTTTTATTTTTCTTTTTTTCTTTTTTTTTAATGGGACTCTGCTGGACCAAATCAAAGTGAAGTGAAGGCTCGGAGTTTCTAAGTAAGAGATGATGTTGTTGACAAGTTGTCCCATTGGATGAAAGGTATCTTGGCAACCAGAAAGGGGCGAAAAGGGGGAGGGTGTCAGTTTATTGTGTGCTAGATGCTAGTCCATGTTGTTGGATGATTGTTTGTCAGGGAAGAATGATAAATGTTACGCCAAAAGGAAGTGAGGGGAGAAGTTGGAGGACGTGCCCCCAACAGTGACGGCGAACAAAGGCTCCCTCAACATGGAACTACTTAAGATTCATACAAAGGCAGAAGAAGACGGCCACTTATTTTCTCTCTAACGCACACACAGATGCCCCCTTTTTTCCTCTAGCTCACTCATGAGCAAACATTTGCACTTAGCGGGATATGAGTGGACATTTCTGTAGATATGTGCATTCCAATTGGTATTCCCAGATACACGCTACCATGCAGACACAACATTTACTGACATTTTCCAACAACGTGCACATGACCTTCAAGTGCACAAACTTCACATTTGCTTAGTGTAACAGCTTTGCATCTGTGTTTTCCGTGCAGAACCTGCTATTCATTCAGGAGCTGATTATCCAGCTGCAAATGTGCCCTCAAAAATGAACATGTTTCGATTGCGGGATTTTGAGGTCAGCCTCCTATTGTACCAGGATGCTCTGGGATGAGGAAACATTCTAAAGCCAGATTTGCTCCGTAGCACTTGTAGACGGGGATTCTTTCTGTTGAAATTCAAGTCTGCATAATCCTCTTCGTGTGTGTGTGTGTGCACAAGTACAGAGTCCATGCACCCTCCAACCAGGATTTCAATGAACAGGAATCTTACCAATGATTTGCACCAGGGTTCACTGTATTGCATCATGAAAGTAGGACAGAAAGACAATGCCCCAAATGCGAGAATGTATTCGTAAATCAAATCAAATGTTATTTTGACATTTCTGTAAAACTCTAAGCTACGATTTGGGCCTCCGTTCTTTTGGGGGAAAAACACAAAAGCAAGATGGAAAAATGTGTTATTCCTAAACTCCTTTAACCATACGTCCATGGTTCTTTATGCAACGGATCCATTCGGTTTTCCAAAAGGAGAATCATCCTCCTACTCATTTCTTTTCTTTGTCCTCTCTCCAACCACTGTATGAATCTGCACACTCAAATATCCTCTCTTATAGCAAACCCTGTTTTCTCTCTCTTCCCCTCTCGCTCATTTTCCTTCCCTCCCCCACCTGTGGTGGTGCGCACTGACAGGCCTGAGACTTGGGATGTTTATAGATGGACAGTAAGGGTAGCTGCACAGAGATGAGAGAGACTGTGTGTGTGTGTGCTTTTGCTGGAATGACCACGCTGTCATAGAGATGAGAGGCCTTTCCCAGTCTACTGTAGGTCTGTTTGCTTTGTATATCTGTGTCAGTCAAGGACCCACGTGTTTGTGTGTATTCATGTCAGTCCCAGGGGAGCAAGGATCCAAAACCACCTAAGAAGCTGGTTAAGAGCTTTGTAACTGTCACTTACAGTAAAGTGCAACATGTATGCTAGTTAGAAACCTGCTAAACTCCCAAATGTTTGATCAGAAGTTGCACCCCTGAGAATACAGACAACTGAAAGACTGAATCGAAGGATTTGTTAGAAGAACGTGTTTAAGAGACTGCTCTTTTATGTGCAATGCAATCTGGCTGTATGTTTGTAGATTAATAATTGCATCTCTCCTGCTTTCCACCAAGCACCTGAATGCAGCTATTTTTAAAATGGTCTTTGCTCTTAACTGTCTCAACAATAACTCCACGTTGATTTTTAGGGATATTCTAGATGTCGGTCGGTCCACACCACTTTTCATCCAGGCTGAAATATATAAAGTATTTGATGAATTGCCACAAAATGTGGTTCTGATTTGTGTGAATCCTACATACTTTGTGATCCCCCTGACTTTTCCTATTGTGCCACTATGTGGTTGAAATTTATGGTCTTGATTTAAATATCTGGACATCTTTTAGATGGATTACCATTAAATTTTGTACAGATATGAGTTGATGCCCAGAGGATTAATTCTAATGACTTTGGTAATCCTCTGACTGTTCCTGCTAGCGCCATAATCAGGTCAACACTTGAATTGGTCCAGTACCTTTTTTTTAATGACCAAATACCTGCAAAACTAATTATCAGCCTCAGCTGTACTTTGTGTTTATTGCTAATTAGCAAACATGACACACTAAACTAAGATGATTACCATGGTCAACATTATACCAGCTAAGTATCAGCATGTTAGCAATGTCAATGTGAAAGTGTTAGCATGCTGGTGGGGGCGGGAGTTTAGCTCAAAGCACCGCTGGGTCTGAGTACGGCTTCACAAAGCCACCTGCGTGGCTGTAGACTCTTGTTTTATGGTACTTAAATGAATAGATGGTCTGCTTCAGAACTTGGCTGAACAGGGGTTCTTTAGACTTTTAGACATTTGGCTGATTTCTCAGCCAAGACTGTACATGGAAATAAAAACCCAAAAGCTGACAACACAATTGCCTGGAACATTATGCTGAAATAAAATAGTCCAGCTGGTTTGTTGTAGGTTATATGTGGAGACTTCCTGATAGTAAGGATTTGGTTCTAAATGCCTGAATTAAATTCACTATTTCTGTAAGACATGGGGTACTGGTAAGAGAAATAGAGTTGTGGTGGTCATATGATACTGACGAAAGCTTGAGCTGGCGTCGGAGGGGAAATCAGGTGTCACAGTGATGTGAGCTCAATAGCCCATCCTGTCAGTATGTTTACCATAGGCTGGGTTTCTGAAGTAGGGCCTATTAATACATTTGTTCTGGCTTGAAGAGTCTTCAAAAGGCCAGCTTTGCCCACTCTCATTCAGGTCCACTCATCAATTAAAAAAACCCAGACCCATGACATCTCCACTTCCTCTCTGTCCCCTCTCCAGACTGAGGTGTCACCAAGGGCGTGGTTTGGGGCACGGCTGGGCTTAACAGCCACTCCGGACATCCTGAATTGAGACGTGAAGGCGCGGTGTCACTGGTGTCATTGACAATCGTGGGTACATAGTTAAAAGATCTGTATCAGCTGTCACAGGGATTTGTGGGAGCCGAGGGAAGCCGAGTCAAAGTGCTTCCTAAGGATGTCGAGGGGGATACACCCTTTGGCCCACGGCTCATCAATCTTAAGCACCTGTCATCTTCTCCCAGTGGTCCATTGATGCTGTGAGAGGATGGTGAGAGGCAGGGACTCGTTGTGTCGTGTATTTCTGCTTTTTTCCTTTTCTTTTCTTTTTTCTTTTTCCTTTGTGTGTCTGGAGGAAAGGGAAAAACAGTGATACATTTTGCATAGTCTTAGTGGTTATACACTGCAACTATAAAGCATGGCGCTTGACCTTGATGTACATGAGTAACCATCTTATGTGGCTTTAGGAAACTGAAAGTAATATGCTATTACTTATGGTCAGCTGAAATCCATACTTGATACAAATGCAAAAAGTAATTGTAATATGGATAAATATACCCCACCGCAACTAACTCAGGATACTGGGGTCACAGTTGAATATATGTGCAACCTGAGAATAGACATGTTCATGCACATTCAATGCTTCTCTTTTTTGTCTTAATATGATCCTTTGTAAGTGAAGTGCCCATGTTTGTAGTCTGGTGTGTATCATTTCTGCTTAGCATAATCTGATTATTCTTTTATACAGTAGAGCAGGGGGCCTGCATTACAGTAGCTTACCCCACCGGGCAAATGCTAATGTATCTGCATATTTTGGTTGATTTGGGTGACCTGAATTCAGTTGTCTGGAAGATTTGTCTCCTTTTTTCTGGGACAGCATTTGTTGCTTTGCCAGCAACATCCATTCTGACAGCTTTAGTCTGTTATCTTGGGATTTTACTGCTTGCTTGTTTGTTTTGTTTATCTCTATTTATTTAAAGATTGGAAAAAAATGTTGAAAGGAGCGTTGATTCTCTGTTAAAAAGTTAGAAAGTGAGTCACAAAGTGAACTATAGCCAAGGCAAAGTAAATATGTAAGTCCATGTTTTCCACTCAAACAGAGTTGGATTGTAGTGGACTGTGGGAATAAAGCTTGTGTACTTGTGCAGGGAGAATGTATTCAGCCTTGTTGTAAAGGTTTTCATTTTGCTCAAGGAAGCAGTCTAAGGGAACAGAGTGGAAAGCGTTGTGAATGGAGGCACAACCATCTGTCACGATGGCAATAAGATTTCTACCTTCCCTCCCTTTTGACTTATAAAAACTTGTTTTTGTGTACTGAAAAGAAAAGAATTTTCCCAGCTAACTGTTCTGTTACTGCTAATGCAGATTATTCCCTAAAGTCTTTGTTCTCGTTTTGATTCATTAGTGATGCACGACCCCAGTGCTGACACTGTACAAAACTGTGAAAGCCCTAAAAACCTGTTTTCTCAATCAGCTTCTTTTTGTGAACAATGTGGAGCTACATTACAACATAATTCTCTGCCAAAGTTAAAGCTGCTTTGGTTGTTTTCAGTTGAGAGATTTTCTGTCTGTGCTGTTATTGGTCGTGACCCGCTCGGTGGTTTGTAGTGGGCGGGCCTGAGTTTGAAAAAAAAGGGGAAGTCATGGACCAATTAGGATTTTGCTATGGAATGTTGTTCCGACATTTTGTACACAAAACAATTTAATTGATGGTTCAAGAAAATAATAATCTGCAGATTAATCGATTCATGAAAAGAACTGTTAGATGCAGACTTAAGAGAAATACTTCACATTTATATGCATGTTTTCAGGGGGTTTGAAGGTATAGTAGCCTTGATAACATTTGTGCGCACATATCTCAAAGGCAAAGAAGAGGAAGAGGAAATGAATATAGCAGTCACAGACCTCAGGTTCCTCTGATGGTGTTTCTACAAGCTAAAGTTCTAATGTGCTAATGTGATCATTTGCATGCTCACCAGTCATTTGTCCTTGATGATAAAATGTTAGGACAGTATCCTGGCTGACATATGAAATCACTGACTTGGGCAGTGGATATTTAAGTCACTACCTAATTGATTTGTCCTTCCCAGAATGATTATCTACCTAACTTGTGTGTGTGTGTGTGGATGAGTGAATAAGTGATATGTGTTTTTGTAAATGTTGTTTAATGGCAGTCTTATTGTGCATCATGTGTTTTTACTGATTCATCACCTTGTCTGTCTAACCATGGTCTAGTCAGCTTACCACACAAACACACTGGACATGCGCACACAACGCACACAAACCACTTCTTCCCTCTTATAGGCGCACACACTCTCTACATAACTGTCTTGTCTGATCTTTCTGTCTTCTCCCCCCCTCCCTAGCTTGAGGATTTTATAATTCTCTCCGGAGGAAGAGCGTCGCATCTTGTAAGGAGCCACAGGTCAGAAACTCTACTCCTCTCCCTCCCTCCCCCTTTTTGCTGTGCAGAGCGACACTGAGCTGCTCATGAGCCCGCCTGCTTCAACACGAATGCTGCATGCATCTACAACCCCTTTTCTGTAACTACCCCCGGGGCTTTACTCCTTTTTTGTTCCCCCTGCATGTCCACACCTGACCTGGGCAATCCTACTTTGATTTGATTCTGCTTGGCTTTGGTGCTTGTGGTGCCAATTTTGAGTCCTTTTTTGTAATGATACTTTCCCTTTCAACCAATCACTGTCATTTTCTTCACTTTGTGATTTTGCTTTCCTTTTCTCTTTAAGTTGTGATTTTCTTGTTTTATATCTGCTTTGAAGCAAGCTGATGGTCTACGTTGTTTTGTATACATCTAATGTTTACAGTGACATACATTGCTGCTTGCTTCCAGTGGCCTTTTGGACAACAAACTACGCTCTGTAGCTTTGCAGTTGAAAGTTCGCTGAACCTCTCCCCCAAACAGTGATTGTCCAATCATAGCAACTGTACTTTGCAACTGTAACAAGGCACGTCAGGTCTGTCAAGTTTTGAATTTATTCAAATGCGGAAGCAGTGTGAATGGGGCTTTAAACTCAATAGTTTGAAGGGTGGTTTCTTTTTTATGGCCTTTTCACCACCAAAAACACTGGAGCAGAAGTGTACTGGATAAAGCAGCGTGTTTGTCTACTATGTTAGCATTTTTAGCTAACCGGTGTACTACGTAAAGTGGTAAACTAACCTTACTTCCAATTCCAAGGAGCAAATCTTTAGCATACTACGTTATTATGTGGGGTTACAGATAATTTGGTTTGGGGAAGTTGTACACTTTAGCAACTAAATAAGCTAGCTAGCTACTGCTAATGAAATGGCGACTGTCATCATTCCAGTTAACAAAATATACTGTCATTAGCTGGAAATGAGAAGTCTGCTTTTGTTAACTTGTGTTAACAATGTGTGAAATTGAGGACCTCATGTTTGGAAAAATAACGTCAAATTTCAAGTGTTATTGTAGTGAGAGAAGAATGCTTGCGTGGCGTTAACTAGGGGAGGAGCTGATGCTAACACCTGTTCCCCAGGGATCACGTCTTTCAAAAGTTCTTTTACTTTCAGCATGTATTTATATTATTGAAGTTGTGTTTATAAGTAATTCTGCTTATTCAGCTGCTTTAACTAATGTTTTTTTAATGCTGTAAATTATTTTCATTACCATGAAGTCCAGGATGTGTGTCCTAAATCTGCCCGCCAGATCACGAGAAATCTGTGTGATCAGTGTTAAACGTTTTGGGCTTGGCTTTGTGTTTGTTACGCCTCTCTGTGCTGTGAAGGAAATGGTGAAATTAGTGTTTTATCTCCTGGTATGCCAAGTTCAGGAGGACACACTGTTAGTGTTGTGGCAGCCTGTGGGTGATGGGGTGAGTTTTCACACAGCACTCCAATGGAGGTTTTTGTCTCTGCTGTCCAAAATTACCACCATGAAATCAGTGCCTGCTGAAGGGAGAAAAGCTGAAGAGAAAGGAGTTCTTCTTAAAGGCAGGAAAGAGAGGAGAAAATATAGTAGGGTTTTTAGTGATGTTTACAGCCCCTTCCTTCAAATGTCCCCTGAGTAACTGTAATTTGAAAGACGGTTTGTTTTGTTTCTTTATTTATCTCATTGTATTCTTTCACCAGTGCACCATAATCAGTAAAACGTTTGCAGTGTAACTAAGGGCAGTCCTATTTAGATATTTATATTCCATGGCAGTTGATTCAAAACCCAGACCTTGAGACTTATTCTGCTCTGGGAGCTGAAGTCACCTGCTCTTGGCTATTGCTGTTTAAAAAGCTACCATCAATGTGACTACCATTCACCAACCGCAAGGCCTTCAGCTGGGGACCACAAGACCTTCAGCTGGGCTTTCGCAGCTTCCCAAAATAGTCCCACATTATACGCCTCAAGGCCTGGCTGGCATCACCGTAGCCTCAAGAAAACTACATCAATTGAAAGGTTTATGACTTTACTGTGCGTGGTGGCTTTCATCTGAGCCCCAGACTATGTGGCGTATTCATCCAATGATAAGTGACAAAACAAATGTTTTTCACTGGATCTTGAACACCACATTTGAAGAGCAGCATCACCTAGGCGGTCTCCTCACAGCACATCAGGTTAGTGTGAGAAGCTTAGTTTGAGGAAGTTTTAGTTGTCTTTCTACAGGAAATTGTGCTTTATTGGGAATATTGGCATTTTGCATCAAGACACTTGGAAGTAAAGTCTTAATTGTCTTCAACAAACTGCTGTCTGAGACCTGTGTACTAACAGGAGACCTAAAAGGCAATTTTCAGATGTGTAAATGCGTAAGTAGGTAATCCTCAAAAGTTCCCTTATTGTTATTTTTGTCATTGCAGATGTCAATAGTAAAACTCCTTCACTTATTTTCTCCTTTTTAATAATAAAAAAAAAAGCGCATGGTGATTATGTTTTCATGTTAAACTACAGAGGAACATTGGGTACTTGGATGGGGAACACCACACAGCAATCCTGGTCCTCTAGTTAGCTTACTTCACTTGCCTGTATGTTTATAGGGAAGTTTTTCAGATCTTCCAGAGCCATGTGACTCAGGGAAAGGGCGTGTTGTTTTTAAAAAGCTTTCCATCGACAGACTAAATATACCCCTTACTGGACCTGACCCCTCATTTGCCTTTGCTGTGGCCACTTTAGGTCGACATGCTAGCTCAGCAGGGGCCCTACAGCTAGTAATTATATTGGAGGGTTTCCATTTAACATCCCCTGTGTAGTGTTGAATTCACACAAGCTGTTTTCCTCAATTTAGACATTTGGGTTGTCATTCGTGGTTTACCTAAATTTAATTCTACCTACTTAATTTTCTGTACCAGTTTCTAGCCTGTTACACATCAGAAATGAGCATCATGTGCTCCTTGTCATCATTCATTATTAAATGTAGAAGTGAATTAATGTTATGAATGTAGCAGATCATGCCTTAATCCTTGATATAGCCAGATCAAGAAGTTGAAAAGTTTAACTTTTCCTCCCATTTGTCATCCAGTGAGCTCATCATGGATAATGTACGATGACTGCTGCATCATCTGTTGCAGTTTTTAGATGATTTTCTCCTATGGCAAATAGTCAGCTGTACAGTAGAGGTTCTGCAGCTGTTCACTGGCTTTCAGATGGCTTTATGTTAACATGATGTGGCTTTGACACGGTAGCTTTGCACTTCACAAATGAAAGCTGCTGCCTATCTTCAGTGAAGACCTGATGGTTTGGACATTGACCAGAGCTGCAGGTTGAACTGGTTGTGTGTTGATTTATCCCGATGACTTTGACAAATTGAGCAAATAAGACTATTCTTGAAAGTAAGGGGAAGTCTTTGATGCATAAGGAGGTTCAGGAAGTCTTATTGCCACAAGTGATATTCACTTCAAACATTGGTCGTGGCTGAACATTACAAGTGTGAGAAGGAAAAAACAGGCTGTGTGTGTGGAATTTGAAAGAAGTGATGTTACCATTCCTCTGTGAGCTGCTCCTCATCTCTGCACGGAGCTAATGGCTCAAGGCTACATTAGACATTATTAACATCCACCCAAATCCCCTGACTGAACCCTCTGTGCTTGTGTTGAATTGTGGTTAATGTAGATGCCAAATTTTGACAATTAAGAAGAATGTGTTGAATAAGAGAGATCATTTCTCTTGTGTCTGCTGCATCGAAACAGTGTTAATTTTTTTTAGTGTCCATCGTGACGTCATGGGAATGTAATGCTAAATCAGGAAAGTTGTCTTTTTAAGATGTTGCCTAAGAGTGGCACAAAACTGGAGAGACTGTAGCCTTGATCACCAGATGGAAGTGTAATAGTCAGCTGGAGTTGTAAAAGCAGTAGCTTAGCCCATACTAAGATTGTAAAGCCTTGGTTATCTACACTTGAAATGTCAAAAACAGTTCATCCGCCTGTGGGGAAACACAACCCCAAACTCTGATGCAGCTGGCAGTATTTTAAGATGGGCTCTTGGTCCCTGTCTGGTCGTATGAGGGATTTGATGCCTACAGTTGGCATTATCATGTACACATGTGAGCGTGCTCGAGTCTCTGCCACATCTATAGCCAAACTCCATTAATCTGCAATTGACATTGGAGCAGACATCTGTCCCCATCAGTGTGTCATCCTCTGTGGTTGCAGTATTTGATTTCAAGTGGAGGCTATCTCGCTCCAAATAACCCACAATACCCGTGGAGAATAGCCCTAGTGAAAGAAGCACCTGCAGTACTTGGAGTCCTATGGACACGGAAGCAAATAGAAACGAAATGTCCATAACAAGTTGCTTAAGCCCATGGTAATGTTTTTAAATGTTTTGTTCAGCAACAAACAAAAGTGCAAAGATATTCAGTTTACTATCAAAGAAGGCTAAGAAAACCAGAAAATATTCACATTTGAGAAGCTGAAACCAGTGATTTCTTTTTTTTTTCCCCCTTTAAAAGATTGCTTAAATGATTGATCAATTGTGGGGACTGATCAGGCACGAGGTCATACTGCCTGTTATAATGTCAAACTACAGTATACGATTCAGAAGAGCACCCTGATTTGCATAAACTGTAAGTGCTGTGTTATCACCATTCCCACAGCTGGGCGGGTACTGTACATGGTACTGTTGATTGAGTCAGGGGTGAACTAAGAAAATGTTGTATATGCGTCAAGTTGATGGTTTATTAGGTACACTTAGCTAAAACTAATGAAGTCCTATCTATCCTATCAAGGTTATAATGTGCAGCTGTTGTTGAAAGTATTTGAGAGGTGTTCAATCCAAAACTAATGCAGTGTAATAAAACAGTTCTGTATTGTATTATACAGCGGTGTGTTTCTGTTATTTAGCCTATCCTCACTGGTATGAATCTGGTGGACAACACCCGTCAGTGTAACGCAGTACAGTTCAACAGCAACACACACTGCAGCCTCCAAAATGGCCATGAATTTAAGTGAACAGTTTACTAAGTATTT